TGGGTGGGGTGGGGAGTTGTGGGAGATGAAGTCAACACATTTTAAGTTTGCCAAGTTTGAAAAACACTGGTCTAGACTAAAGTAAATAATTTTGGAATCTAATCTTGGAAACTTCAAGAATTTCCTACTCTTTTATAGTGATTTCCATAAGGCAGAGTCTTTCTGAATTATTTGAAATGCTTCTTTTGAGGTTTCTTTTCACCCGGGCTGAGTTGCTATTTATGAGGTAAGCTGCCAATGGACTTTCCTTCTGTTTCTTGATTGTTTATGTCTATTCTCCCTTCCATTCTCTTCCCATCCTCCATACAATCTCTCACCTCCATAATAGCAGTAAGGCTGACACTCTTTGCTTACCTCTTTGCATGTAACGTCTGCAAAATTCAGGAGGATTTTTTCTTAGTGAATGAGGTGTAGTGGGAACGCTATCTGTGTATCTACTGTGACCTGAGCATAACATCACATTGTGACGTTTTGCTGAATATTTTCAAAAATAAAAAAAAGTATTTTATGAAATGTTATTCAAAGGTAAAATACATTTTTATCTTGAATTAGAATTGGAGCCTGATATTTTGTCTTTAAACAATTTGATACTGTTTGCTATTATAGCTTCAGTAGAAAGGCAGCTGGAAATGGCCCTGGTGACACAGAACAGCTTTTTCTCACTTACTGCCAGCAATTGCATAAAAACTGTTTGACTCAAGGGTGTTTCCCTAATACGTGAATTAGACATGCTGTCTCTTGTTCTGGATTTTAAAGCCAGATGATAGAAGAGCCAGTGTTCAGAGGCTTGATATGTACAAAGGGGTAAGCTTCCAGAGTCATTTAGATAACTAAAAAAATAATAATAATCTGGCTACAGGTGATAGTCTAGGCACGTTAGTGATAACTATCTGCTCTTATGGAAAGAGTTGGATCTACTCGTTGCATTCAGTTGACTAATGCCAGTTTATATTTGTAGATTGAGCAGGGGTGAGTAATGCTGTAGTAAGAAATTTGATGGTGGCTTGAAGTCATGGATCACCAGATTGCTTTGCCAAAGTTCTTGTCTGCTTTAGCAATAGAAGCTTTCAAGAAGCCTGCATGAAATTTGTCTCAGCTAATCAATCCTTCTCACCCGAACTAATTGTTATGGTTAGCAGGTGTCAGACTGCTTTTGGTCTGGCATGGCCTGTTCCTCACTGTATGTTATATACAATGAAAGGTCCCATGAGCCCAGGAGGATAAAAGAACATGGAGGTTCTGCTTTGCATTCATTGGAGATCTGAAAGCAATTGGATAATTGGAAATAACAACAAGTTCTTAGTCCAGAGAGAAAGCAGCTTGCCAACTTCAGTTTACAATATGGAGCTGATCTGAAAGTGAGAAATGCACTTGATGTGTATTAGAGGGTGTACTCCTTTTGTTGCAGAACAAAACAAGTACATAAAATATGTGCAGTACTTCTATGTCAACCCTACTCCATGGTACTCAGCAAAAATATTTACAAAAAAAAAAAAAAAACTCTCAAGAAATACCTTAAAAAAAAATTAACGAATATGTTTTCTTTCTCAAAATGTATTTCTTGCACAGCAGTGTTGTGCCATAGTCATTCTTATATATGTTCGTTCAGTGTTAAGATCTGTATATTGCTGTTAATTGAAGTAGGCTAAAGTTACTGGCTCTGTTTTCTTTTTCTGGCTTACCTATCCTCCTATGGTTGGCATAGTTGATTACTAGAAGGCCATAATTCATAGCTAGTAAGTTCTTGTAGATTTATCGGTTCCATTTTACGGTTTTGTCTTCTCATAGTCTAGAAACTTGCACAATTTGTTATTTCCACTCAACCCTTGAGGCAAACAGGCTAGTGTAGTGATATATGAAACAGTTCTACATATTTGAAAACAATCACAGCCTCCTTGGAATTTATAAACCTTTCTCTTCTGTAGTTGTCAGAAGCACTGGATTTTGGGGGAAAAGATATTTCTCAATTTCTGAGGTATGCAGCATGATGGGGACCACCACTGTCACCACAGAAACCTCCCTTGGTGCCTGTCAGGCTCTGGGTCCCATCTGATTAAAACTATTTAATCAAAAAGGGACTAGGGGCTGGCATGCCCCAAATGGGCCACATAAGCTTTCTTAGAACATGTAGGTAGCTGCAATCCAGTGCATTGCATAAATGCCTACCTGCCCATAAGAAAGGATGTTAAAAAGCAGGGATCATAGAATGTATGAGTTGGACAGTATCTAATAGATCATTGGTTCAGCCCTCTGCTTAGGAAAAACCCTACTAAACCTCCCTGATAGATGACTCCCAACCTCCATTTGAAATCCTGTAGTGAAGAGGAATTCTGTATTCAATGACTACTGTTGTCAGAAATTCCTCCTAATGGAATGGGTAGGGACCATCTTGGAGGGCCAGGATGTAGGTATTTGTGGGTATTTGGGTACATCAGAGCTTTATAACTAGTTGGGTCTCTCATAGCTACCAGTTTGTGAACTGGATGTTTCTCAGTCATTCTAGAGTGTGCTTGTAACATGTTCTAAACATTCCATATGTGCCTCCCATGCCAGAAAAGGCTGTGCACCTACGGCTTTGATTGATTTGAGTGAGGGTGGTATTTATAAAAATATGCAATAAAGGTTGAGTACTTGTGTTGTGGTACACAGATCAAGTAGCTGATGCAGACAGCAGTTGTACATTTGCTTTGACAAACAACTTACTTCAGCCTTTCTCCAGCTAGTGCCCTTCAGCTATGCAGATCAACTCCTTTATTTCCCAGGCAGTGTGGCTGTAGCCACATAGCAGCAGGTTGTAGAAATCTGGTTTTTATCTTCATCCTGTAGAAATTCTTAATTTGATAGTCATAATAACAGTTTCTGCCAAATTTGACTCTTCAGATACCTCCAGTGGACAGCATGAGATGGAAGGTCAGAATCTGTAAACTCTGCCTATTTTGTACAACTGTAAATGTCAAAGCTGTATCTGCTACTCAGCAGTGACTTCAGTGACTTCATATGTGGGGTCTGTTTGCACTGTTTACAGTTTAATCCCAAAGAGTTGATTTTGCTGTAAAACAAAGATATTTTAACATTCAATTCACTTGTCCTTTTTTTTTCCCCTTAGCTAACTGTTCACCACCATGCCAGAATGGAGGGATGTGTCTACGACCACAGTTGTGTGTGTGTAAGCCAGGTACAAAAGGTAGCATTTGTGAGGATGCCACCAAGCAAGAAACTGTTTCACCTGGGGGATCAGGTCCTGCTACTCCACCCTGGCCTATCCCTCAGCGGTCAGTTCAGCAGATGTTTTCAAAGAAAGTGCACGTTCACCAGAAAGCAAATCCCATGACTCAGATGACATTCACACTCAAGCAGAAACCTCCTGGATTATCTCAGCAGACACAATCACAGTAAGCCTTTTCATTACTGTATGCATGCCAGTATGTTTTAAATTTGCTTTATAATACTGTGCTTTTATATTGAGTGCCCCAGCTTCCTTCACAGGCTGTTCTATAGAGATCTATATAAAGCTCTACACTTTTGACTGTTTCTCAATGTTTGGGATTAAACATTTTTCTAGAATTAAAGCTTGTGACACCATTTTTTAAAAAAACCAATAGGTATGATAAGTTCATTGACATAAATCCTGCTGTGGAACCTCAAAAAGAAAATGTTGATTAGATCAAAGGTCACCCACATTCTTCAGCATGCTTGTGCATAAACATGTGCGTGAACGCCCCCAGTCATAAATGCATGCATGCACACACAGCTCCTCCACCCCAAAAGCAATCTGAGCTGTATCATGATTGCTGCAGAGGAAGATTAATGCCTTTTGTAACTGAGATATCTTTCCTCAGCCGTCTTGAAGCAACTGACATTGCTCAAGAAGAAAGTTAAAATGTCTCCTGCCAGTGATTTTGGCTTCATAGATATCACCAGGATAAGGAAGGGAGGTTAAAGTTACCCAGTGTCCCCCCCCCCCCCCGTTTCTGCCCATCTGACATTTTTAATTTCTGCATGAAGAAAGCATTTGAACCCCTGGGCCTTTAAGAAAATATTGTCAGCTACAACTCCCTTAGTGGGCCTGGAACAGAAAATAAGGACCTACAACTGGCCATACTAGAGACTCACCTTTGTTGTCCTTTGTCCTTTGGAGGTGAACAGAATTACTTACTTCATTTGCACTCACCCACATTTATGTCATTTTTAAAAAATTTACTTCTGGAGTCTACATCACACCAATGCAGTTCAAAAGAATTCTTAATGTGGGCTTTTATTGTTTTATCTTTTCTCCAGATAATGTAATATATCAAAGAAATGTGTTACGCTATTTTTCACTGAAATGATGTGAGGCATGGCAGTACTAGGCATCCACAATAACAATCTTAAAATAATCATTCTCAACCAGCTCCCCCACATACTTGCTGGAAACCAGTAGTTCTCACCTTTTTCCTAAAAGCTAAAGAAGGACATATGTTCCATATCACATTCAGGAGTGAATTCCATATTGAGGCCCTTACTAGTGAAGGTGTCTGGATAGTATACAAGCTGGCAGTTTTGTGGGTCCAAGCAAAGCTATTGTTATCAAGAATCAATACTTTTTTGAGGCAGGTATTGGTCTCTTAAGAACTATTTTGTTTCAATGAAATCTATTACTTGGAAGCTGAACAGGTCATCTCTTAGGATAGTCTTCCTTGGATCTCCTGCATTGATTAGGGGCTTGGATTAAAAGGGGTACAAGACAACTTCCACCTCTGCAGTTTATTTATTTATTTAAAATACGACCACCCATCTTAAAACCAGAACTTTGGGCAGCTTACTGTAATGGTATGTGGGAATGACCTTGGGAGATAGGAGGAAGAGCCGCAGACCAGACAACCATCATGTAAAAGATATCTCTGTCCACAGAAAGGGGTGGGTGAGTGGGAAGCATTTCAGAAGAGACCCTCCCTAGTTTTCTGGAGAGTAAAAGGAGAGGAGGGGAAAAATACTTTCAGTCTTGCAAGATTGATATTAACCCTTCAAGGTACTCCAGACAGAAACCACAACTATCTATCTATCTATATACTACTAAAACTCTCAGTGTTTGTCTATTTGTAATTTTCAGTTGGGTGAAAGGTGCATCATAGGGCAAGAACTTTGGAATCAACTGACCTCAAATGGGCTAACATAAAGAGTACATCCAAAATTTGGGAGCCATTACTCCTGTAGGATTGAAATTTGGCAAAGTTGTGGTGACTTCAATGCCATTGCGGCTTCCAACTATACTTCCCACAAACCTGTAGGTTGCATGACGCAAGGGAAGATGGGAGGGGCATATCCCTGCTCTGTTTCCCACCTTTCTCTGGCCTCTGTGCCCAATCGGCTGGTGGCAAGGCCTGATGGGTGAGTGGCAATTGGCTGCTTTGGGACTGAGGCCAAAATTTGAAATCTCTTAACAGCAGTGGGTGGCAAGGGAAGGTTGAGGGAGTGACTCAGATGCCTGCTGCTGAGGTAGGTCTGGCCGGGGGGCACCAGCGGCTGACGGGTGAGCCCTCTTCCTACCTGGAGGAAGGGGGCCCTTGGGGACACACCAAGATGGGGAGTGGGGTGCAGTTTTCCTCACAGTGCATGGCTCCCTTTGTTCTCCCTCCCCCCAGCAAAGTGGCAGGCTGTTCCATGGGTCAGCCAAGGAGGAAGAGGAGTGATTTCTGATGCTCCCTGCCAGCTTCCCACAAGCAAAGTCAGTGGGGAAGTCAGCAGAAGTCAGAAGTCGCTTTTACTCCCACTGCTTTTTTTGCCCATCCATGGTCATTCTGTTTCTCTGTTTAGGGAAGGAAATATCTCTGAAAGGATGACCCAGTGGGTCACAGGTTGTCTAGTGAGTACTTACTCTATCTTTATTGTAAGGTTACATTAACAGAATCTTCTGAAATACTTCCCATGCCCTCCCCCCCTTTCTTCTGTGGACGGAGATATCTTTTACATGATGGTTGTCTGGTCTGTGGCTCTTCCTCCTATCTCCCAAGGCCATTCCTACATACGATTATACTCACAACCATAGGATAGAACAATATCATACAAAAGGTAAAAACAAAAAACAGCTGGATCTCAAGGGGAAGGGTGTTCCATAGGTCAGGAGCTGCCACAGAAAAGGTACACTTCCTTGGTCCCACAAGATGGCAAAATTTAAGGGAAAGGACCTGCAGTGGATTTTTTAAAACAAGAATAGCAGAATATTTGAAAAAAACACAGCAATGAAAATGGCATGATTGATTGGCCATTGTCAAAAGTAATCTGATTAAGTTTTACAGTCAGAATGAATACTGTCTCTAGGGCAATGAGCTAACATCTGTGCTTGTACAGTTTCATTTTCCTATATTAAAAGTATCTCTTACTTATCAAAGCACAGCACAATGGGAGGAAATTGACTGCTTTAGGAAAGTAATAAAAATTCATATAAACAAAGTGGTGCTTTATGTATAAATCATAGTGTTTCTTCTGTCTAGGTTGTTTAATTATTGCAGTCCCTGTTATTGTATATAAGAATTTAAAGTTGAAAATATGTAAATGGGAGGATTGTGTTTACAGTTAATTTCTTTTTATTTATATCTTTTGTGAGGCTTTTGTTAGATTAGGAATAGGCAATATGTGGCCCTTCAGATGTTAGATTCCAACTTCCATTATTCCTGGCTGCTGTGCAGGATGGGAGTGATACTGAGTTACAGTTCTACGCCTCTGCCCCTTTCAGTCCTTTCGTATCTGAATGGTTTCATGTATAGGAATGGTTTCCTATAGCCTACATATGTTCAGAGAATATAACAGGATTTCAAGTAGTGTTTCTGCAAATGGAAGAGCTCCTGTTTATGGAAGAGGAAGTGATTTGGGGCAATGTTCTTTACTTAATATTCTCCTAAGCCATTTTTCCCTCCCCTGCAGTCTATTGCAAAGAGTCCTAGAGCCTCCTGAGTAGATTTTGGGGGTCTAAAGGGCTGTTGAGAAAGGACAGAATAAATGAAAACTGTTCCTTCTTCCCCTCCCATGAGTACCAACCTCCTTTTGTAGAATCTCTGGGGCCAACACTGTGAACTAGCAGGATGGAAGTAGTGGGAATCAGTTTGAATAGACTGGAAACCTAAGCAACTGCCATCCTATGAAAGGCTATTTCGTGACCCCTTTTTATGTGAGTTAGCTGATTCACTCTATGCTGTAGCTGAGTACGTCTGACAATTTTACTTGATTGCTTACTGGCCTGGTGAGCACTAGTTACATTGATCAGAAGTTGCTGTGTGTATTCATAAGTAGGATAGAAGGAATTTGAGATTTCAGAATGTGGAAAGAAAGCAAAGAGATTCAGTCATCACTGCTTGAAGAGTTCTCATTCAAATAAATTCAGAGTACCGAAGTTCAGATTACCTTCAATTTGCATGGCTGAAACAGAACAAGGGATACTTCCCAACCTTTCAATAATACTTTGTGAAAAATGAGCCCCTTTTACAAATGTTCAGAATTCAGAATTGCTATTTTTAAAGAGACTTTAGGAGCCCTTGTCTTTTATCTTGAATTGTAGGTATTTACAAGAAAGAGCTCTGAAGTGCCATTAACACCTGCTTCTCCACTGAGACGTAAACTTTCATACACGAGATTGTTGTATGCTTGCCTATAGTGATGTCTGCCTAGCAAAACCTTTTCTTTGGTGCATTTAATTGAAATTGCAAAAACTATCTTATTCAACTTTATGCAAAACTAAATCATTGTTTTATTATTCTGTGGTCTCCAATTTGAGGTCAGACTTTTTGAACACATGACATTGTTGGCTAGTTTTCAAAGGGATTCCTTGCTAGGCCATATGCTATAATAAACTTTATTGTAATCCTGTCACATTTATTATGCGGTACTGGTATGATATTTTAGTTAGCAGTGTTTCTTTTGGCTCTGAATTGAAATAATTTTATTTTAATGTATGTATTTGTAGGGGGAAGAAAGTGGAAAGTATATTGAATAAAATAAATGAAAATATATAATATTCAGTGAAAGAATAAATCATTTCTAGAGTTTTGGAAATACAAAGCTAATACAATATATTTACTGTTATGCTGTTGGGCAGTAGGTGGCAAACTTCACTTTTCTTTTTCCTTTTCCATGTATTTATTTTCAAACTACAGATTGCCAAAATTTCAAGAGGGTGATTTTGAGTTCTCTGCAAGATGTAATTTCTTGGCAGCAAGATTTTGATTGACCTCTTTTTTTGCACAACTTGAACATTGAGTAGTTGGGCCTTTTTTTCTTCCAGAGGGTAGTTGAAATGTGAATAAATGCATAAATTATTGTTTCTGGGCTGGATTTAACAAAAATATTACTAATATGGCCAATACATTGCAAATGAACAAGTATCTGCCAAAGACAGCTCTACTTAATTTGTATCATGGGT